AGCACCTATGGACTGGTCCTAATCCAATATAACTGGTGTTCTTATAAGAAAAGTAGACAGAGACATGGGGGAAAATGTCACGTGAAAAAGAAGGCAGAGATTGGAGTGATACATCTATGAGCCAAGGGACACCAAGGATTGTCAGCTATCACCAGATACTAGAGTTCAATACTAGATGAACAGATTCTCCCTCAGAGTCCTTGAAAGGCACCAGATCTGCTTTACACCTTGATTTCAGACTTCTAGTTTCCAATGCTGTGAGATAATACATTTCTATTATTTTACATTACCCAGGTTGTAGTACTTTGTTATTGCAGCCCTGGGAAACAAATACACATAGGTATACATTTCAGCTTTCTTATTGAATAGCTCTATGAATTAGTGTTAAATTATTTGAATTTTTTCCCTGATATTTTAAGGACACTTACCTTTCTGTGATTGTTTCTCTGAGACCACTTGCCACCCCTTTGACCACTGTGCTAGCTTTGGGGGTCAGTACCACCTGAGATATGAAAAATGAACCCTTCTTTCTTCTCTCAGTGATGGAGGCCTGAAGAAACTGGATCAGTTTCTCTGGGTCTGTGGTGTTGGCCCAGGGTGCTGGCATCATCTGCCCAGGCCAGAGGAAGGGTACTTCCAGAGCCACTGGACTATGGTAGAATACCAACACTTGATAGTCCTTCTCCCACAGATACTTTAAACTAACTTCCTGGGCAAAAATCGCTGGGCACATTTTGTTTCCATAGATGTCTTTCAGCATCTGGACGAGTTTTTCATGGTGATATTTCTGCATCCCATAAAAATGGTTGAAGTCCAAGAATACTACCTCCTTATGGTGATCTGTGAGGAATGCATTGATCTCCTCAAGGCCTTCATTGACTTTGGCACTGAACAAACCATGAGCAAAGTAGAGTTCATTGTCAGGATCTCTGGGCTTGGTGGAAATTCGAAGATCAAAATAACGAATTCCAGCTCCTAGCTGACCCGAAAAGTTCATTGTTTGAGTGGCTAGCCATTTTCGCATGAGCTTTTTGGCCACAGTTCCAAACACAGAGACAAAATTCTGGACAGTTTCTGGCTGTTCAGGACCTACTGGAGAGGCTTCATCGATGTAGAAGCTGAAGGAATCATGAGACCCTAGAAAAATAACAATGCATAACGTGGTTAATGTCCAGTCCTTTGTCTTTCCCAACTTCTCTCTCTTGCAATGTCCATACCTCTCCCGCAAATATGACGAAGGAAATACTAAGCAATTTAATACTAGTTAATTTTTATGTCTTATACAGAACACGTCAATGATCAAATTATTATAAAATAATACATTTCCTTCTGATCAATATTTCTAAATTTAAATAATCATCTTCCTCTGTGAACCAAGAATTTAATGCACTCACTAGGATTGGCTTTCCATAAGGTGACGTAAGTGAGATTTATAGGGACTCACTAGTTCCCAAACACTTTGTCCACAGTCTTACCCTTTCCCTTCATTTTGGGTTGATTTTAAGCCTTGCAGGCCTGTCTCAGTGAACAAATAAGTCCTTTTCACAAGCAGACAATCAGCATCTGAATTGTTACTGCATATACTTTGAGAAGCACAAGAGGTTAAAGGGATAGAGGAAAGGCAATATAAGACAATAGGACAGTCCAACACTGATATATTTAATTCATTTCTGACCTTGTGTTTGAGCAATTGTAAACTTAGATGAGGTCAAGTGTCTTTCACATATTGAATAAACACTGATTTTTTTTGCAAGCTAACACAAGTGACAACATTTAAAAATTAACTAATAGACTCTTTTCTTCACATACTTTTTCTCAACAGCAAAAACTCTTTTTGGAATTAGCTTCCAAATTTAGAATTTCTTTCCAGGAAGAGCAAGGAGTATTTATTTAGTTATTTATTTTTAGCAGTTATAAATATCAAGACTCCAGAAACGTAGTGATGAACATGTATATGATTTGCCTGTAAGTACGGAGTGTGATTTACTTATTTATTTATTTATTTATTTTAGAGTTGGAGTTTCACTCTGTCGCCCAGACTGGAGTGCAGTGGCCGCTCCCGGCC